GTACGTATGTATAATAAACTAAGTAGTTACTATATTAGTTATTATATACTACTAACTACTAATAGTAGTAAGTTAAGTTAGTAGTTTATATATATATATATATATATATATATATATATATATATATCTAATTTTTTCACACAATTGTTTTTGAGCGAAATCCAAAGTATTCATATGTTTTTAACTGACCTAATCTTTGGTGATCCATCCTTGTGCTTAGAATTTTTTTTCTCTAAATTTTTGGGCAAAACTAGATCTATTACCGATTTTTTATTTTGTCGATATATAGGTCTTCACTGGTGGGTTGCTAACTATACGTAGAATGCCTAATCAACATATTGTAACTATAGAATATTCTAATAATTTGTAGGGAAATGTTCTAGTAGGGCTTCAATCTTAGCCCAACAGGGAAGGTTGCAGCAATATGCACTGTTCAGGAAAATGGATGGTGCAGATTTTCCTTTATTATTATTATTATTATGCAAGAAATCGGGGCACGGACTGTGCACAACCCATTTTCAAGTGTTTATAGATCTGCTTGATTTTGCATCGTTTTCTGAGCTTTAAATTTCATATCTAGAGGTGAAAATAGATTTTCCGGCCATTGTAGGGATTTCCAGTGCTGGAACTGTGTCTTCCACCATGGTTTAGAGGTGTGTGTTACTTTATTTAGGTTAGACGCCTTATACAAACCACATCCATATATTAAAGGTGGTGCGGTCTACATAAGATGGCAGCCTTACTTTCAGTAGTAAGGTGGGTGTTTTCTACACCATCAATTTTAGTTAGACTATGTCGATCACTACTTAGTTAAAATGGATGGTGTGGATTGCTCTGAACCTTACTTCTACAAGAAAGGTTGCTGCCTATATAACTTCTTTATATATATGGAAAAAGTTTATATATGGTTGAGGCCATAAACAATCAAACTAAGGCTCACCTTAAAATTTCACTAGAAGTTGTTTTGATGCTGGAAAATCCTCAAAGCCGATCATCTTGACCTTGAGATACATGAACATAAAAGAAATCGGACTTTAAGACGTGGAAATAATGCATCTTGTGATGCATTATCTAGACTGTCAATTTTTAAGATTTATAATCTATACTACTTTTGAAGCTTAGAATTTTATAATTAGATATGGAAATAAATTTTTAAGCCATCATAAAAATTTTCGGTATTGAAATGATATCTTTCGACACTACTTGAAGGTGCACCTTACTTTAATTGTTTAGGGCCCCAGCCTTATACAAACCGTACCTATATATATACCCCTTTCTCTCTGACCTTCCTCTCATTCCCCAATTGATTTTTGTTGAACTAAGAACATAGTCTTGACATCAAAGTTTACGGTTTTATTCATCTTAAACCTCTACTCAGCAAAAGTTAAGACCGCTCATCGCCATTCCACCTACATGAATCCACTCATTCTCTACCGAATAATCACTGATTTTAGTGGGAATTCTGCTCATCACCACTTTCTTGCCATATTTTTTTACCAGTTGCTCGATTCCAACCATTCAGTCTAACCCTGATGCACGAAATAAGAGTTTGTTGTGCAATTTGAATCTTGATAGTGACCAAAATATTTATTTTCTGACTCTGTATATGGATCATGGAATCGACCGAAATACCCATTTCCCAACCCCATGTTTGTTAAAAAAAAACAGATTTTAGAGAGTTATGGCATCTTCTGCCACTTCTAGCTTTCTTGGCACCCTTTCCAACCAAAAAACAATAACCCCCCCCCTGTCAATTAGTTGAAGTAGCTATTCCATCTCTCTCTCGACACCTCACTAGTCTATCTCGCACTAAAATTTATAGGTTTTTCTTTTTGAATTTTCTGTCCTAAATCACATGGAATCTGCCCACCTCACACTTTCGCCCTGCCCCTTGTTAAGGTCTGTCCCCGCTACAATGATGGTGGACTTTACCACAAATGCATATCAAGAAGACTCTTGTCCTCTTCAAAGCCCTGGTTACAGCCCAGTTCATCCCTTGCATATTTTGGACCAATCTCTAGGCCACTCAAATCCCTGATTTTTTCTGGGATAAAAACTCTCAAAACCCATCCGAATTAGGGTTTTTGAATGCACTAAAATTAGTGTTTTCAGAATTTTGAAACAGCAATATGGCTACCATTTCCTCTCAAATGTCTCCTTGGAACCAGTGGGAAGTCTGTATAGACTGAGAAACTCTCTGGCTTTAGATGCAGATGTTGAACTCAAACCAGAATTCTCTTCAGTTGATTGGGGCTTAGATGTGGTTGCTAAAGCAGAGTCTCAGGAGCTTTTTCATATGCACTATTAGTGCTCTAACTCAAGCTTTTCCTCCAAGTTTCTCGGGGCGGGATCTCTATATTTTTGCTGGAAATTGGCCCGAATAGATTTTGGGCAGAATAGATGCCTTTTCCATAGAATTTGGGGTTTTGCAGCAAGTTTCTGCAGCAGAGAGGGAGGGAGGGAGCATCCCTTATGGAAGAATTGTCGTTCATGGTAATTTACATAAATTATTTTAGAATAGGAAGTATTAGATTTTAAATTATCTGACCACCCATCCGAAGTGTATACAATACTTGCCAGTGTTTTGATGAAGTTCATAGAGCAGTACTTTGTGTTTTTGTATAAATTCATAACATTAAGTTATTACATTTGGTTTTATGGTGCAAAAAATGTTATTTTTGCTTTAAATCTAGATGGAAAATTCTCGTTTCCTTGCCTGCAAACCTTTGGAGTCTTGTATTTTTGTGATCTACACGTGTTTTGATATAGGTAAATAAGGGCCCAAATTGGATGCGATAAGTTACCATATTGCACTGCCCTATTAGGGAGGGAGACAAAATGGTGTTGTAGAGCTCTATCCTTATCCCCAGTAAGTGGCTTTTTCCATAACAGCAGGGCCAATTTTCTGTAGCTATTGGCCCTACACTGAACACTGGTAGAATGGGCTGCATGTATAAAGGGGTATACCAGCACTATAGACGTGATCCAAAAGGCTCATGATGTGATGCATTCTACTAGACATACACTAAGCTACACCTTACATCAACCATCTATTGTTGGTAACTGATGGTGGTGAGCCATTCCTTTGGTAGAGAAACATTCATCTCAACAACGGACGGTTGAGATGATGTGTAGTTTTATGTTAGTAAACTACATGCTTCATTGTGTATGGTCCCTTTATCATATGGGTAATACCGCATCACATCATGCACCCATGATGTGATGCATTGTACTAGACATGCACTAAGCTACACCTTACATCAACCATCTATTGTTGGTAACTGATGGTGGTGAGCCATTCCTTTGGTAGAGAAACATTCATCTCAACAACGGACGGTTGAGATGATGTGTAGTTTTATGTTAGTAAACTACATGCTTCATTGTGTATGGTCCCTTTGTCATAATTGCTGAAGTTACTTCTGTCATATTTCTAATCATCATCATCATCATCAAAGCGTTTTCCAACTATTTGGGATTGGCTACATGAATCTTGGTCCGTCATTTTACTCTGGCAAGGGTCATACCCTCATTATGGCCATAAATCCCCATATATTTTTTAACTACTTCCAATCATGTCCTTTTGGGTTTTACCCCTTTCCCTTTTTGAGACTTCCTTTTGGACCAACTCGTGCATCCTAACAAGTGCTCTATTGGGTTTGCCTTGTATATGGCCAGCCCACCAAAGTCTACTTCCTCTCATCTTATCGCCTATTGACGCTACACCTAAGTTCTTCTGAATATATTCAGTTCGAATTCTATCCCTTCGTGTTTTTCCACTCAACCATCTCAACATACTCATATCAATTACACTCATCTTATAAGTATGTTATTTCCCGATTGCCCAACATTCCGCTCCATAAAGCAAAGCTGGTCTCACAACTGTTCTATAGAATTTCCCTTTCAGCTTCATTGGTATATGCGGTGATCACATAAAACTCCAGTTGTACATCTCCACTTCGCCTACCCAGCACTAATTCTATATGCGATATTTTCGTCAATCTTTTCATTTTTCTGGATTATCGGCTCAAGATATTGGAAGTGTGCTCTTTTTGGTATTTCTAGATCATATTTCTAAATGTTACTTGGAAATTGTGAGGCAAGGGAGTGCAGACTAGGACAATTTGTCAGCTACATTTTCTCTTACTTGGCAATGGTTTTGACATAAAATTGTCAACCTTTATTTGACATCCATTGCATTTTGCTTCTTGTGGACCTCATCAAGCTGATTTCAAATCATGCTTTCTTACATATTTTTTCTCTTCTTCGCAGCTCTTTTATATTTTGGATGAGAAATCCAAACCTATTGGACACATCATTTACGTATATATGTTTTGATTATTCAATTTATTTATGTGTTTTTGTTATTGTCTAACTTCAATAACACCAATTACACTGTCTTCTTGGCTACATGACCCTGATTATACTATCTTATATTATGTTTTTATATGTGATATGGATACTAGTTTACGGATATGGAAGTTCTTTCCCTTTCCACGTTTTTACGTAATATCAGGGAAAATATACCATAAATTGATTTCAGCATAAAATGATTTGTACTCCAATTGGGTATCTACCATCTGTTCCGAATTAGGCATCGAGGAGGTTAAAGTCCCACTGAGCCCCACATGGATTTGTCTCTACTGTCCATCTTCAGGAATAGATGGGGGATACTCTTTGTAGGACCATATTACCTTATTTCATTGCATAGTTGTATGATATACTACTTAATATTATACAATCAAATGTCTTTATTCAGTAATTAAGTTCTCTGAGGGTTTTATTGACTCTTCCTCAGGGTGGAAGACCCCCTTTTAGGGGCGGTTTTACTGGAGATGGAGGTGGCAGAAGGGGTGGGGCCGCTCCATATAGAGGCGGTGGAAGAAGGGGTGGTGGTCCATTCAACCACTATGCTCCAAGACCAGAAGGTGTGGCCCCACCAACCTTCCCTAATTTTGGTCGAGGTCGGGGCCACCCAAATTTTTCTCGGGGTGGGACCTTGAATTTTGCTCGCGGTGGGGCTCCCCCTTCTATTGCTCAGGGTAGAGGCCGATTTATTGGGGAAAAGGGCAAGCGGGCCTCACAAACACCAGCACAACCCCAAATATTTCCATGTGACATATGCAAAGTAGAATGCAACAGCCAGGAAATTCTCAATCAGCACCTCAGTGGTAAGAAGCACAAGAAAAACCTTCAAAAACTTCAGAATGACATTCAGACTCAGAGTGCTCCGACTTCCCTATCTCAGCCATCGATTCCTGGATCACAAATACTGATCTCTGAATCTGGACCACCCATCTCAGACTCTCAACCCAGGCCCTCCCTGGAGGGATCTCAACCCTCCATCACTGAGCCTTCTTTTCAACTTGAAAACAACCCCTCAAACTTACAAGAGACCCAACAAGAGATCATGAAAAATGGAAATGAGACTGAGAAACCCTTAGGAGAGTCGGTACCAACCGAGCAGCTTGTGACATCAGTTGAGCAGCCTGTAGGCTCGGCTGAGCAGTTGCCAAGTGAGAAGGCAGAGCCATTGGATACAGATGCTAAAAAGCCAGAATCTAATTCAGCTAATGCTAGGCCTTTTAGGCGTGGTAACTTTAAGAGGCATAATCCTAGGTTCAATCCCGACATGCGTAAGGCTAAGCGACAAAAGCATAGCAAGAAAGCTGAGACCATTAGGGAGCAACCTAAAGTGTGTTCACTGTGCAATGTCACTTGTGATACACAGGCTGTTTTCGAGGTACATCTCGCTGGCAAGAGGCATATGTCAAGAGTGAAGAGGTTGCAAGCCCAAGACCTCTTCAGGAACCAAGGCCAGCATTCAGGTGCCCCCCCGCAAGCGTCACAAGCTGTTTCATTGAATCCACCTGTTCTCCCAGCACAGGTCAACCAAGCAGGTTCTGCCGAGGCCCAACAGGTTAGGGTTCACCCTTTTTTAATTTATTTATTTTTGGCTTCTTGTATGTACCTCTGCAACCCTTCAAAAACAAAAAAGATGATAGTCATCCATGCTGATCAACAGGTGATTTTCTCTCAGCCCCAACAAGTGGTTTCTGATCCCCAAATTCAGCAGGCAGTTTCAAAGCAAAGTCCAGCACAGGTGGGTTGCTCAAGCCATCATATCCTCTTTTTATTTAATTCAATGAAGTATCTCCTTTCCATTAAAAAACAAATGTTGGATTTAAGGGGGAACCTCAACTGTGTGGTTTTAGATCCTCAACTTCGATGCTGGTCTTTTGTGCAGGGTGGTGAAGTGGTTCTCGAAAGTCAAACCCAACAAGTGAGTTCAGTGGTTTTAGGGGAACAAACCCACCTAGCAGCTTTGGACCCTCCCACCCAAAAGGTGGTTGTGGAGAATCAAACCAAACAAATGGTTTCAGATGCTAATGGCCAGACCCGAGATCAGGTCCAGCAAGCTTTAAATGAGAAGCGGGGCCCTTCAGAAGTTTCGAATGGAGAGAAGGCAAGTCTTGGGGTGGAGAATTCAGTTGTATCTATAGAAGCCTCAACTCCTGGTGTAGATGTCAAAGTTGGAGAGACTAGTAAAGCTGGAAATGGAGAAGCTGGCATTCGAGATATTGAGGTAGAGTAGTGCTGGCATTAGCCATTCTGGTTTCATGACCACCTCTTTTTCGCTGTTTCTTTGTTTTTTGTTTTCTTGGTTGATAATCTGCTGTGTCCTGAGATGATTTCTGGGCAGCAGTTTTGACATGCGGGATCAAAAGTTTATTGATTCAATTTGAACTTAGTTACTAGCTACAACACTTAATGACAGGATATTTGTATGCCTATGAATATTCGGGGATTGGCATAAAGCTTTCTTTTGGAATTAACATTTTCATGCATACAATGTTATTGAACAACCCCTCTCTTTTTCACAGACACGCTTGTGCGTGCACACACACATTGCATATCTGGACATGGCCTCTGTTAATTTTTTAGTTTGTACCAGTTTACAAAGTCTAAATGAGGCCTTATACTTGGACCTCCAGTACTATGTTTTCATGATTCTTACCAATTGAGCATCCTGAAAACATCATTGAAATGGTCCCAACAACCTCAAGAATTTAGATCGTCAAATCAATCAACCTATACTTTTTAATTATTCATTTCACTTCAGTACCTTCTCAATTTTTTTTGTTAAAATTGCTCTTGCCTAAGCCATATGAAGGATGGTTGCCAGCACCTCTTCCTTCATTTCATCTTCCCCCTTCCTGTCTATCAAAAGGCCAACATCTCATGGTACTATTTGAAACTAAGGCCCTATCTGGTTCTATGGCTCCTTGGTAAAACCTTATCTTTATTGTCCTAATGGAATTAGTCTATAGAATTCTAGGGCTCTACTACAAAGAGAGCGGAACATTTCAGTGAAGCTACCTTGTATTGCCATATCAATGAAGGTTCTAAAGGTTTCTAGTGTCGTTCTATTGTCTTTTGGTGAGTGTTTGGAATCTTGAATAAGTAATGGTATTTAATAATTTTATTTGTAATATAAGTGACTAAATTACTACTCAATGACTCTTCATCTACACGATGAAGAGGAAGAATGACACGGTTTTTAGTTTGGTAGTAGGATGTATTATAGTAGTTTATGCTCTATTTAGGATCGCGTATTCATATCCATCATGATTGTAAGCTTCTTATTTTTCATCGATGCGAATGTAATATTCTATGTATTTTGCAAAATAATAAAAGCTTAGTGTACTGCAGTTTGTTTTTTTGGAAACTCAAAAAAAGCTACTTTCAGAGATATTTAGTGACCTTTTGACAATTTTTTAAGGCCGAAATTAGCCCATCCAGATCGCTAATCCATTCTGGTTTTTCAAATGGAAGATCCACATGATCGTTCCGTTTTGTAAAACCTTGGTTTGAATTGGAAAAATAACGGAAGAGATTTGAGCTCTTGAAACCCTAGCTCTATTGTCCATGCGGGTATTGATTAGAAGCATTTTTTAGCATCGAAACAATTTTTTCTTATAAATTGAATTTTGGATATGAATGAACGAATGAAGATAAATTGAGAGTTTTGTGGTCGAATATACCCTTATATGGTGTTTTGGCAAGAGCTACGTGATGGTGCCGCTGGACAACCAAGCGTTTAACTAACTAGGGAGAAGTTGAACCTAGAGAGGTAAGGAGCAAATGGCTAAAATTTGACGAGGTGGTTCGGAGAGACCATGACGCGTAGATACTATGGGATTTTCAACATGTTTTGAACCATTAAGCTTAAATTTATGGCAAAAAGGACAAAAGCTTGTGTTATATTTTAATTAAATGCCATTAACAGTCGGGGATCTTTAATGCAAGTGCCCTGATGCGCTTCCTCTTGTTTGAATAGATGTGGTGAAGAGTGCAAACTACGCTCCCTCGGGAGCATTTTGTACATTTACTCCCTTGGGCTAAAGACTTTCTTTGGAAGGATTTTTTACTCAATTTGAAATTTTGGGACCACCTCCTAATAATCACTAGATGATTATCGTAAAAGAAAAAATTTGAATTTTGAGTTCACGAACACTTATTTTTCACCTTTCTAAAGCTTGGGACGTTCTCTATTGAATCATAGGATATTATTTACTGGGAAAAAGACATACACCCCCATTCCTATAGTAATAATATGAAATAAATCCTTCATCTATGGAAAGCCCATGGATCCTCTTCAAGTTATAACATTTATTCTTTTTGTTTTTTCTAATGTCCCCATCATCATCATCATCCATGAACCCCTTCCTCCCTCTCTCTCTCCCTCCCTTGAACCTCATATCCCTCTTGTCTCTTGAACCTCACAAGTAGGTTAAAAGAGGTATCCCACATTCAATTTATATCATGAAGTCATTAGAAAAACGAAAGGTTAAATGTCATAATTTAGACAATGAAAAAAGTACGAAAGGGGTCAAAGAACTTTTCTTTTAAATCGGAGGTTTGAGATTATACTTATAGAGATAAGGCTCTATATCTTTTTCCCTTATTTTTTTCCGAGTGGGTAAAGAGTGAGATTTAGAATTTTTTTTCCATTGAGGCAAGTCTACAGGTTAAAGAGGTTAATCCCCGAAATTTGGGTCATAAAATTACTCCTCAATTGGGTGTTACTCGAGAGAGTAAATGGATGATAAGCTTTCGCAGGAGCATGAAATGTTTTGCTTAATTAAATAACTTTCCTTACAATTATCCTTGGTTTAATGGAGCAAACTACCTCGGACCCCTAATTTCTGTGTTATTTGTGAATTTTTTCACTAATTTTTGTGTTATTTCTGAAGTTTTACGTGGTTGGATTATGAGGAGAAGAACTCAAGTATTGGCCTTAAGTGACAATTTTCCCGTGGCCATTTTCGTATTTTTGCACATATTTTAACACATTGTCAAAGTAATACGTCTTTTAGATTTGATACTATCGAGAGAGAGAGAAAGAGGAATTTCCAATAATGTGATAACAGGGGTAATTATCTACTAGCCAGTGGTAGTATTTAGGAAAAGCGCTCGGGCTTAATTGTTTAGCGCTTGACGATTTACAACGATTCTACCCACTTACTCAATAAAAAACAAAAAAAGCCAAAAAACAAAAAAAAAGGAAAAAAAAGTTGCACTACTTTGCACACCAACTAGTGTAAAAAAGAGAGAAAATAAATCAAGGAGCTTTAGGCATAATGGAGCATCTTGTTGAGTAAAACTCTTTTATTAGGAAAAAATTATGTTTTTTTTTCTTTTGAGAGGGCATCTCATCCTTAACTTGTTTATGGAGCCTTGATACCTTCTTGTCCTTAACTTTAAAAATGCAGAGAGAGAGAGATTCTGATGGTGGCCAGTACAAAGAAACACTATCTCAAGTTAACTAAGGAAAAGGAAAAGATTTTGATGGTCTGAGACCATTTTCAAAAGACAAAACATACTCACTCCCTGATAAATATTAATGGAGCTTTTTTTCATAACCCAGATTTAGCGTGGTACTGGTGTCATAAGAAATAATGATGGTGCATTTATTGCTGCTGTGTTTGCAACACCCTTCGGTAGGGTTTCTAAAAAGTACACAAATTTTTTTGGCTTGGAAGGGGTTAAACTAGCCATTCAGCTACATTGTTTTTCTTTTCAAATTGAATGTGACTCATCCCTTATGTGAAGGTTATTCCATAGCGTTGCAAACCTCTGTGAACGTTATATATAGTTGTAGTCAATTGTCAATACAAACTATCTAATCGCACATGGTCTATTTCCTACATCTTTTGTGAGGCCAACACGGTAGCCAATATACTTGTTAAGAGGGCTACATCTCGTTCTGAAGCTACAGTTTGGTGCTCTTGTCTGTTAGATTCTATTTCAGTTCATTTACTTCATAATTTGGCACAATTACTTTATTGTGAAGTGATTTGGTACAATTACTCTATTATGAAGTTGTAAGATAATGAGTTGTTATTCCTTTATTATTATTATTAATGAAAACTGGTAGGGGGCTTCTCCCACTTATTTATAAAAAAATGGTCTCTCCCTAAGATAAATGATTTTTTTTTTTTTTTGGGTATGGATAAATTCGTTTATAAGATGAATATTAGAAAACAATATTGGATATTTTTTATATTAAGAGAAAGTCTCATTTTTCAATTCTTAAATCACACTAGTTCATAAGTAGGGTCTCTTTTTTTTTGTTTTGTTTTGGAGAGAGAGAAAGGGGTCGGATAGTGGGTGTTTAAAATTTACCCATTTGTTTTATTTTTAAAGTGGGAGATAAGTTTTGTCCTCCCCTAGGCGGGAGACCGTGTAATAGAGTGATCATGTGGGACCACCAACAGTATCCATAAATAGTTTGATCACTATGATGCCGCGGGAGCATAGTGTGCATCTCATCTAATTTCCATAAGTAGTAAAATGAAGAACAATATAAAAACTAAAAATAAACTCACAGGCGCTAGAAGAGATGAAGTGCTTGTGAAATCCAGAGCTTTGCTACCTAGAGAGAGAGAGAGAGAGAGAGAGAGAGAGAAGAGAGAGAGAGAGAGAGAGAGAGAGAGAGAGCTAGAGACGTACGTAGAGGTACGTTCCTTGTACTAAGTCGAACCCGTACCCCTGTAGATGTAGTTACGGACGTACTCCTTAC